GAGTTGTTCAAATATTAAAAGCACAAAGTTTGAGATTAAAGTTGAAGGATAGAGTTTTCTCTCTTTTCGTAAGTATCTTGTACCTAGAAGGCTAACGAAATCCTACTGTTTTTTGTGTTCCCATGTGCATAGAAATTCATCCAAATTAATTTGTAATATTAATATTTCCCTTCGGTAATTTTGTATGGATGTCTATTCAATGCACTGGAAGCAAAAAAGACAATCAAACCCACTGACTTTTAACTTATGTGTTTCAAATCAAGAAAAATTGTGTTATAGACTAGAACGTAATCATATTTTACACTGTTGGAATGAGAATTTTGAAATGTCAACTTAGCAAATGAGCTCTTACCCTTTGTTTTTGTGCGTATTAACATATTTCACACTGCATCTGGTTGTCTGAGAATGGGAAAATATTTTAAATGAAACAAATAATATTTTTCTTTGTTGGTGTGTGCTGTGTTTGTTTGTGGAGGCAGAATGAAGCAAAACATTTGATATTTCAAATTAAGTTCCAACTACTACAAAATATTTGGACAGTTGTGATATATTTAGTCACAATGCTTCTTCCTGGTCTTGTTGGTTTTTCTTTCTGCATAATATCTTTAATATTATGATTTTGAATATGTTATTTATATTATTACTTTCACCACAATCAACATAATTCAGGTCCCACAGTTTATTCTGGATCATGTATGGGGTAAAGGCGAGACATGTAAAATTGTTTGTACTCAGCCACGACGAATCTCTGCCACGTCAGGTGGGCGGAACCTGTCTTGAGTATATATATTCTCTTTTTCCATCTATTCTCGATTTTCATGTATGCGTAAATGTCTTTACTCTTTATTGTTTCAAGTGCAGTGGCAGAGAGAATTGCTACAGAAAGAGGTGAAAATGTTGGAGATACAGTAGGGTACAAGGTACTACACAATCTAATCAATGGCTGTGCTTCTGTTTATTATTATTGTTGTTGTTTGTCAGCAGTGTGTCTAATTTAAGAGTTTCTAGTAGATAGGACTTGCCTTTTCAATAATCTGATAATACAAATTTTCAATAAATATGATGATCATATTTATATATTATTGAGGCTTTTGAACTCCTTTTTTTTTTTAAAAAAAGCACACCTCATTCTTGAAAGAAGTATACTCAAAACTCCCTCTAGAGGCCCAACAAAAGAAGCATAAACCCATTTAATGCTCAGAAACGGTGTAATTTCAGTTGCTAGACAGATAAGAGAACATGACATATTCATGAGATCAAAACTCTTTTTTCCTACTGAACATAGAAGAGAAGGCCCGACAAAAGAAGCATAAACCCATTTAATGATCAGAAACGGTGTAATTTAAGTTGCTAGACAGATAAGAGAACATATTAACATATGCAAAGCGTGATAATCCTTCTGTGCTATTTCATCATCATTATCATGATTATCATTGTTGTGCTCTGTGTGAACTCTCCTTTCCACACTTCTCTTCTTTGTACTGCATGTATACTAGGCACATACCTTAGGCTGTGAAGATAATACTGACTTTCTACTTCACGGGAAATGCTAGATACGGCTGGAGAGCAAAGGCGGGAAGCATTCATCTCTTCTGTTTTGCACCAATGGGATTTTGTTGAGGGTTCTAGTCGGCAGAGGAGCTTCTAAGAATACTGGAAATTATGTCTCTGACATAACGCACATCATTGTGGTAATGTTGTCTCTAATTCATTTATATTATATTTTCAACAATGTAAATGACTTCGTCCTCTGATGAATGATTGCTATAAATACTATGCAAGTATTACCCCACATCAAATCCCTTCTCTTGTAATTTCAAATAACAGTATCTTTTACATTTCGTTTTCGTTTATAATATAAGTTTCACAGTATCTGTATACCATCCATTATTTGCTGTTCTTACATTGAAGGTCTGTTCCTGACAAATTTGTTTCTACTTTTAGGATGAAATTCATGAAAGGGACCACTACTCTGATTTCATGCTAGCAATTATCAGGTGCCTTGCCCAGGATTACACTGTCTCTCTTTTGTTGGCAAGTGAACTTATGTTCCCTTTAGTCATCATGATCATGATATATTTATTATATGTGGGGACCAGTAAACATGTCATTGTTTGATGCCTAAAGCAGCGTTTGTCTTTGCTAATATGATTATTGCTTTTCTTTGAAAACAGCTTATTTGTTAAAGTGCTTGTTTCATCCTTTGCTATGACCTCAATTTTGATTATAATTATTAAACATTGTATTCTACTATCTTGAAATTTTTGTGCTAATTTTGTTATTTTTGTCTCCAGAGACATGCTTCCTTCATATCCTCATTTGCGCCTGGTTAGTTTTTTCCCACGTCTTTTTTGTTTACCATTATGTCTTCCATGCGAAGTATCTAACTGCCTATTCATTTCCCTCTAGTCGGTCCAGGTTTGTTGAACTCCACTTAATTTGCTGACCAGTTAAACTTGAACAGGTGTTGATGAGTGCCACATTTGACGCTGAACGATTTTCAGACTATTTTGGTGGCTGTCCTATTATTCGAGTTCCTGGGTTTACTTATCCTGTAAGTTCTTCTAATAATGTATGTGGTGCTGATTTTTCTATGTATAAATTTAGTATATGATATGTGAAACTTCTTTGCTCAGGTGAAAAGTTTCTATCTAGAGGACGTACTTTCTATACTGAGATCAACAGAAAACAATTACCGAAAATGTACTTCAGATGATGTGACAATGGAGGACTCTATCTTAACTGAGGAGTACAGAGTTGCTCTTGATGAAGCTATTGACTTGGCTTTGTCAAATGATGAGTTTGATCCCCTCCTTGATTTAATATCTTCTGAAGGGGGTCGAAAAACCTTCAATTACCAGCATTCTGTAACCGGAGTTACACCACTTATGGTATTTGCGGGAAAAGGGAGAATTGGTGATATTTGTATGCTCCTCTCTTTTGGTGCGGACTGCCGTTTACAAGCCAGTGATGGAAATACTGCCCTTGATTGGGCTGAGGGATTCAATCACGGAGAAGCTGCTGAAATTATTAAAAAACACATTGAGAAAACCATGGAGGAAACATTACTCAATAAGTACTTATCCACCGTTGACCCTGAACTAATTGACCACGTGCTCCTCGAGCAGCTACTGAGAAGAATATGTACTGACTCAAAAGATGGAGCCATTCTTGTTTTCTTTCCAGGTTGGGACGATATAAATAGGACAAGGGAGCGTTTACAATCTAGCCCCTTTTTCAAGGATGAATCCAAATTTGTCATTATATCTCTCCATTCCATGATCCCTTCAGTGGAGCAAAAGAAAGTTTTTGGACGGTCCCCTCCAGGATGCCGCAAAATTGTTCTTTCAACTAATATTGCTGAGACTTCTGTGACCATTGAGGATGTTGTTTATGTCATAGACAGTGGACGAATGAAAGAAAAAAGTTATGATCCATATAATAATGTGTCAACTCTTCAATCTTCTTGGATTTCAAAAGCAAGTGCAAAGCAACGAGAAGGACGTGCCGGACGGTGCCAACCTGGGATTTGCTATCATCTTTACTCAAAAGTTAGGGCTGCTTCCTTACCAGATTTCCAAGTTCCTGAGATTAAGAGGATTCCATTAGAAGAGCTATGTTTACAGGTACTTACCTCTCCCTTTTGCTTTTGAGAGAATGCACAAATACAAGTATCAAGGATCCACCGTGCATGGGGTGATGTTTCAATGTTGAAGTGTAATGTTTCTTTTGTTTACCATGTGCAGGTGAAACTGCTAGACCCATCTTGCATGATAGAACATTTTTTGCAGAAGACGTTGGACCCACCAGTTCATGAGACCATACATAATGCGATCACAATTCTTCAAGAGATCGGGGCTCTGACACTTGAAGAGAAACTTACGGAACTTGGGAAGAGGGTTGGATCTCTGCCAGTTCATCCGCTCAAGAGCAAGATGCTTCTTATTGCAATATTATTGAACTGTCTGGACCCGGCATTGACGTTAGCTTGTGCTGCTGACTATAGAGACCCATTCACTCTACCCACACAACCTGATGAAAAGAAGAGAGCTATAGATGCAAAATCTGAGCTAGCTTCACTTTCTGGTGGACTTAGTGATCAATTAGCTGTAATAGCCGCCTTCGAGGGATGGAAAATTGCAAAGGAAAAGGGTGAAGGATCTCAGTTTTGTTCTCGCTACTGCATATCTTCTAGCACCATGAGAATGATATCACGAATGCGCAAGCAACTGGAGACTGAATTACGCCGGAGTGGTTTTCTACCAGAAGATGCATCTAATTGTAGTGTGAATGCGCAGGACCCGGGAATAATCCATGCTGTCCTTGTTGCCGGTCTTTATCCGATGGTTGGAAGACTGCTTCGACCTAAAAATGGTATGAAGCCCATTGTAGAGACTTCAAGCGGTAATAAGGTTCGGTTGCATCCCCGCTCAACCCTCTTCAAGCTACTATTTAAAAAATTTGGCGAGCAACCGTTGATCATGTTTGACGAGATAACTCGTGGAGATAGGGGTTTGCACATTAGAAACAGTAGTGTTGTGGGTCCTCTCCCCTTATTGTTATTGGCCATGGAGATCGTAGTGGCTCCAGCGAACGAAAATGACTATGAAGATACGGATGTCAATGACGGCAATGAAGATAAAATAGAGAGCCGTGATGAGTTAATTGCTCGCCGTGAAGAGAAAATTATGTCCTTGCCTGATAATGCAGTTAAAGTCGTCGTTGATCGGTGGCTTCCTTTCGAGTCAACAGCTCTTGACATTTCTCAAATTTACTGCCTGAGAGAGAGACTCTCTGCAGCAATATTATACAAAGTAATTTCCTGTGGGCATGTTATACTTTTGTTGTTATAGAAGGCACTCTACAAAAAAGGCTGTATGTGGTTATAAAGTTCTTAATTTTATCTTGTGTTGTGTTGTAGGTGACCCATCCACGGAAAGTTCTTCCAGAACATCTCAGTGCCTCTTTGAATGCAATGGCCTGTATTTTATCGAAGGATGGAATGTCTAAGATCTCATTGCCATTGGAACCTGTGGACTCGTTATCTACAATGATTAGTGCCAATATTGATCAGTCGAACGGTGCGACGAAAATGGTGTTGAATGAGTATCCTGAACATGACAAGTCACCGACGAACAATGTGAATGACCAGAACTCTGTCTCAATATCGTAAAGGTAGCTCCCCTATTCCTATACTAAATGGGTGAATCCAAATCGGAAGGTTGCATCGAACAGTTTCATTCTTTCAGGCTTAACTGACATACACAAGAACTAGTAAAGGTACTGCAAAACAAGAGTTTGCTCTACCATGTTGAGTAGTGTTCAAGATGTTCAATTTTATAGTTATGGAGCTGCGTCACGCACAAGCATATGAATCTTCAATGATAGCCTTTTTGAAATTGGTAATGCAGCTTGAGAACAGGAAGTAATTTCATTTTACCAGCATTTTGGAAAACTGGTCACCCTTAAATCTTCCTATTTTTTGCTATATAGGAGTTGCCCAATGCCGAAGGTTGGCATCAAGGGAGGCAAATGAATTTGATTGAGTACTTAGCTCGTCCAACTCGATCCAAATGTCAAGTTTCTCGAGTATAAGCTCGATTAACTTGACAATATTGTTGATTTGAATGAATATTAGTTTGGCCAAGTCAAGTTGATCGAGTTAACCGTGCCTTTTAATATATTGGAAATAGACTATAATCATTTTTAAACAAGGTTTACTGTCTTTTAGCCTTTAAATAGGCATTTTTGAAGGAAATGTTTGATAGATGCCTTTAACCAAACGTCTTGAAAATTCCTATATATAGTATTTACCACAGAAGGGTATACAAATAAATCAGTTGTTAATAACTAAAGTCTAAATGTCTAGTTACAAGTCATGGTTCAATTATTCTCAATGCTTTCGGATTGCAATAGTAGACGTGTTAAAAGATTTGTAGTTGTTCCATTTACAAGTGAATATGATCCAGAAGCAGAAACATCAAATAAGTTGTTAATTTTAATCTAGATTTTTAATCAAAAAATTTAACATACTTTTTTCTTATGTATTCAAGCAGCAATATTGTACCCATATTTCGTACTTCCGATATCGGGAGAAATTGGAGGCCAATTTTTTCTATACTAATGACAAATTATGAGGTTACTCAAATTTAAGGAATCTGGTCTTCAAGATTAGACTTCAATCCTTATTACAAGATTAGAATTTTGACTAAAATTTACTATCGACGTACATACTCGTTAACGGTACTAATAATCGAACGCACATACAAAAAAATCATCTACATCAAGCATGTAATTTACTTTTTCTTTATCGAGTTGGTATTTTTCACCATCGGACAGTATCAACCTCCACTGCCTTGTGACTATGGGCCAAATCACGTCATTTTTGTTTAGCGAGAAGTAAAATTTTCAACGTCTTTCCAACCTATATCTCTTGGATGAGTAAATCTCTGCTACACCAGACCAAGATCCCAATATGTTGACAACATAGTACAACGAATGTTGTCGAGGAATTAGCCTCTAAACCCCTAAATGTACCTTCCTCAACAAAAATGTATATGAACGGAGGAAACAAGGTTTACTGTCTTTTAGCCTTTAAATAGGCATTTTTGAAGGAAATGTTTGATAGATGCCTTTAACCAAACGTCTTGAAAATTCCTATATATAGTATTTACCACAGAAGGGTATACAAATAAATCAGTTATTAATAACTAAAGTCTAAATGTCTAGTTACAAGTCATGGTTCAATTATTCTCAATGCTTTCGGATTGCAATAGTAGAAACATCAAATAAGTTGTTAATTTTTAATCTAGATTTTTAGCTCGTGTGTGTGTAATTAGTGTGTCCCGTCACATCTCCGGTGATTAGGAGATTAATTCCGATATACTTAAGACTTCAATCCTTATTACAAGATTAGAATTTTGACTAAAATTTACTATCCACGTACATACTCGTCAACGGTACTAATAATCACACATACAAAAAAATCATCTACATCAAGCATGTAATTTACTTTTTCTTTATCGAGTTGGTATTTTTCACCATCGGACAGTATCAACCTCCACTGCCTTGTGACTATGGGTCAAATCACGTCATTTTTGTTTAGCGAGAAGTAAAATTTTCAACGTCTTACATCAAGCATGTAATTTACTTTTTCTTTATCGAGTCGGTATTTTTCACCATCGGACAGTATCAAACTCCACTGCCTTGTGACTATGGGCCAAATCACGTCATTTTTGTTTAGCGAGAAGTAAAATTTTCAATGTCTTTCCAACCTATTATCTCTTGGATGAGTAAATCTCTGCTACACCAGACCAAGATCCCAATATGTTGACAACATAGTACAACGAATGTTGTCGAGGAATTAGCCTCGAAACCCCTAAATGTACCTTCCTCAACAAAAATGTATATGAACGGAGGCGAGACAGGTGATCGATGGACTGAAAGCCATTGATCACTATGGTTGGGGACCACGAAGAGAGAACCAATGGCTCTGATCATTTCATGCTGAATTGGGTTAAGGATCAACCATCCTGGAAAAGAACCAATGGCTCTGATCATTTCATCATGTTAGGCAGATTAACATTGGATTTTCGAAGATTGTACGATAGTGAGTAGTGACACTGAATGTGGAACAAGGTTCATTTACATCCCCTTAATGACAAATGCTTTGCGTTTAATTGTGGAAAGAAGTCAATGGGATGAGCTAGAATTCAGTGTACCTTATCCTACAGCATTCCACCTTAGATCTCATTCTGATATCCAGCAATGGCAATGCTTTATCCGCGATAGAAAGCATGAAAGCTTTTTTTTGCTTTGTTGGGGGCGATGCGTAAGAGTTTCAAGAATGATTTTCAGAGGGCTGTTAATGAATTACAGCAAGAATGAATCGGACTCCTGCAGGCTTGTGGACGTTCAGTAACACACTGCTATGATTATGCACCAGCAATTCTTGAAACTTTTCTTAATTCAGATGTCTGTTTGCAGCCAAAAGGAGACAGTTTCACAATAAGGTCTAATTTCGATTGCATGCTGTTTGGTGCAATTCCAGTACACTTTTGGCAAGGGAGTTTTAAAGATCAGTATCGATGGCACTTAACGGGAACAGCAGAGGCTTATTCAGTGTTTATTTACCACAATGAAGTGAGAATTGGTACTGATATTACTATATTAGAAGTGTTTTAAAGATATACAGTAGAGAGGAGGTGAATAAAATGAGATGGACAATTATCTATTTCATGCCCAAGTTTTGGTATGCAAGTTGGAATGTGGATTTGGAGAGTGTTAAAGACACATATTGATATTACCATGGATGGAGTTTTGAGAAGGCTTATGCAGCCAAAGCAACCGGGGTCTGATGAAGAAGTAAATACTCAGGAAGAAAATTTACGCGTTAGAACTACACAAACTACAAGTTGCAATGTAAATCTTCTCTCTTCTTTTTCGCTCTTCGTATGCCTACTTTTTGATTACTCATTGTGTGTACAAGTTCAAAAATAGAGTGTGTTAAATAAACATTGATCATAACAGTAATCATCAAAAAATTTCTTTATGTGATGATCTTTATGATCATTAATGTTAATTTTATTGATACTCAGATATAAATATCATTCCGTTATAGTTTCGTGGTACCATAGTTGGTCTAAGTTCGGGTGATATTCTTTGTTATTCCTAGTATGAGTATGCAACTGATTAAAAAGATGCACGATCGACTTTGTCATTATATCATTGTCTTTACATTAAATGACTCGTACTTACATTGTCTTAGCAATCGAATTTTTATTAGTCCTTTACCATTTAAAGTACAGTTAGCAGTATAACCCAATCATTCATCACAATGTGTATCAAAACATATTCAACAAAACTAGTTGTTTCTGAAGCAAGACTTTGAGAAGTAAAATTCAGAGGAATTTTTATTTTTTTTATTGTAATTCTTAATATAATACTACTGTCTAATAGTGACATAACAACTCCTAAGCTTGTCTATTGCATAAACTTCACAACTTGAGAAAACTTTCTTTTTTCTATTTTGTTGAGTAGTAGTATGTATGTATATTATATAATTTTATTTGGTATTTAGAAAGAATATTGAATAGTAGAGTCAACTCCAATATATCATCCAGAAAAACATTTTTTTTTGAAGGTGGCTCTATAAATAAAGATTCTAGAGGGTCACGAGTATCATTTAAATTTCGTTTTCAATATATTTCCTCACATGAGCAAAGATTATTTGATGAAATGAATAGTGACAGGACAAAAACCCAAAAAATATATGTTATCTGACTAGAAGATTTTAGAGAGGGTCACAAGAAAACCTTTGTCTTACCTAGTATAGTTTTTGCTCTATTTTTATTTCTCTATTCTTTTTGATATTTCTAGAGGACAATGCTCGAAGTACACCTTCATTCCCAGCATAAAATTATAAAGGTCGACGAAACATCAAGGAATAGACAAAGTTTCTCCCTTCAAACATATCATAGTAAAAGATATTCTTCCATTCAAAACACCATGAAGTCTACACACTCTTCCACTTCACTTTTTAAGCTTATCATACAGAATAGAAATTTTGATGCACCAGGCTGAACATGTTCATCCTCAAGGACCTCAACAAAGTTAACTCCATATAAACAAACCAGTATCTGTCGTTCGCTACCCTGTGCTAGCTTGTGTATACTCACCTATCTGTCTCAGACTATATCTCTTTCATTTATTGTTCTTTTAATTCACAGGTAAATATGGATTGCAAATAAGTAGAATTGGCATTTTTCTTGGCCTTGATGAATTCTGATAGCAATTCCTGCACAATAAAACTCAATGCCTCTTCGCTAGCGTTTTCTTTAATCCCTTCAAAATTTTCCAAAACCAAATTAAGTTCATGACAGTGAGCATTGAGGGAATAACAAGTATCAATCGACGCCCAAAGACGTGCATCTGCTTCACCTGTTGCAGGAGAAAAGAATAGTACAATGAAATGCAAAGCCGAGATGTTATTGATAAATATATGCTACTACTTGTAAACGAAAATGAAACGAAATATCCAATTCTGCAAATGTGTTTCTTTGCCGGAATAAATATGCTCCACTGATTTTAGACATGAAGGAAAGAGTATTATAATATGTCATATATTGTGGTTGCGACAATTTAAACTCTACTGAAAAAATCCAGTTACTCTAA